GTTGACCATAGATAGATGGGTTGATCTCTGGATTCTCAATTCGATTCCATTGATCTATGTGTCTGTCATTGTACCAGTACCATGCTGTCTTTACTACTACGGCAGTGTAGTAGGATTTTGAAGCTCTATCTCACATACTTTAGATATGTTGTCAAGAGGGACCAGTCCTTGGAAAAGGAAATCATGCTTGGAAGGGTGGAGGGACAGCACAGGAGAGGAAGACCTTGGGTGAGATGGGTTGACACCAGAACTGGAGAAATGGGGGTAGATATATTGGAGATAGCGAGATTGGCTCAAGATAGGGCAGGGTCCAGAGCTATTGTGCATAAATAGGGTAACTATGAGTCACAGGCAACTCGACCACACATAACAGCAACAGTTAATACTCTCTCCCTCTCCCCTTTTATAGCAAATTAAGCACAAGTCTTTCACTTTTCAAAACTTCTCTAGCTTTACATCTCTCCTCTTCACAGCCTGGATTCTTGATTAAGTTGGTCTACACCCCCTGTCCTCACTCACAGCATATTTACTAGTCAACACCCACTGGGCTCCGGATACAAATGAGGTCACAGCAACATATTTTAGGCTTATTCTCCCACTAGGAAAATGTAAAACTTCAGCACCCCACCCTGTGTTCATATTCTCCCCTACTGATTTCTGAGCAGACTTCGCACTGACAGAAAAAAACCAGCAGCCTCTCTTGGCCTGATATATTACCCAACAAAACGAAATCGCAAAACATAATATCCTTTCGGGGTGGTATAATTACAAAAAGACCCTCATTGCTGAGGGTTCTTGACATCCTTTGCAGAAATGGCTAGCATTGTAAGGAGAATGGGGGCTTTGTTTTCAGCTTCCACTCACCCCCCGCCCCGGTCTCTATGTCATCACCAGCACTATCTATATTGCAACTCTACACAGTGGCAATGTTTCTGCAATCCTCAGGATTCTCTCCTGGGTCCATCAGCAATCTCCTCACGTGCAGCCTGGCCCTCTTACCAGTATTAGTGGCCCACAATGCCTCTGGAACATGGTATATCATGTTCCACACACCTATGGGGTGTTGGCACTCTTTTTGGCTCAGAGGGTCCCCAAAGCTGCAGAACCCTTAAGTTGATTCTAAAACCTTTGAAGGGCATACTCCTCCATGCACGAAAGTTGGGCTGTGTTCTACAATGAAAACTGGAGAATGCCATTTGTTATACTGTGTAGGACAAAAGTTATCATGAAAATACCTCTTTCAATTGTTTTTTTTTCCACACACAGGGCTCAGAATCATCATGGGCCATCACTAGGACCAAGAGCAAAGCAGCCTACTCTACGTATACACTTTCTCATGTCCCAGGCCCAAACCTCTCCCACATCGCTTTCTCCCTTCATGGAACTTGTCTATCCACTAGTTCTCATATTAGAAATGAAAGGGATGTCATAATAGGAACACACCTAGAATTCCAAAATGCTGTTTTTGCCCAAATTAGCAAGGTAACTGAGTGAGAAGAATTTGGTTTATGGTTCCAATTTTCCAGAATGGACCACCTCTATTACAAAAGTGAAAAGAGGAAATATGATTTTGATACCAGGTTTTCAAAAGTGAGGTAGGGAGCTCTGGCGGCTAAGTGCTAAGATGTTCTACTACCAAACCTGAGGTATATAGTTTGAATCCACCAGCTGCTGGAGGGGTGCTATGAGTTGGCTCTGACTTGATGGCACAAACCGCCAACAATAGTAGCAGAAGTGTGTTATATAAGTTCTCTTTCCTTTGTTTAACCAAAAACCTCAATTTCAAATTTATTGTGTCAAGCCTGAATCAGCTCATAGCTCACCCTCGACTATGTTTTCAGGGGCTGTAAATCATAAAGGAGATTGCTCATCTTTCTTCTACAGAGCTGGAGGTGGATTCAAATTGCCAGGGAGGGGCCACCTTTGGGTTTGCAATGCAACTTCCTATAGACCGTGTCACCAGAGTGCCCTGTTTAATTGAAGGACACAGAATAAATGCCTTATTTTGTCCTAAAAGACTTAACAGAATGCCAACCATATTATAATCAAAGGTTAAACCAGTTATACCGGAATTTTTTCCATATACCAATTAGCTTTGGGACACTAAGTTAATAAATGCTGTTGGTTGCTAAGAAAGAAATAAAGTTCCACATTTCTTTTAGGGTGAGTAAACGAGAGTTTTGCAAGAGAAAAGGAAATACTATTTTTCCCAAGATGAGATTCTTGGCTATCACTCTCAAAATATCATCTGACAGAGGAAAAAAATAACAAGAATGATTAAACTCTTTGTGTACTGAATGCATTTTTGTTGTTCACCATTAACTGCAAGTCCCCCTCAAAATCTTGTAGATTCATTTACTTTTTAATTTTAATGAACATTCAATTTTTAAAATGGCAGGCATTTATTAAAATTTATCAATTTTAAGGAATATATTTATAAAAATTACTTATAATAATCAGCATACACTCGATTATTATGAATGAACATGTATCTAGATTTTTCTAAATATAGCATCATGAAAATTAACAGTGATGTGCGAGACATTGGCCAATTGTAAAGCAGTATAAATCTATAACTTATAGACTTTTCTATGGAACAATACTAGAAGGAATTCCCTTTGTTGATTTTCCCCTTGGGTATTTGGGTGTGGTTTGTTTTCTTCCCTGACTGAAACAAAGATATGCAGGAAAGTCTTCTTTGACATCTAAAATTATTTGTCCTTACAGAGGAGCTTAAAGAGAAAAATAAGAAGCAGTTGATCATGTCTAGCTTAATCTGTTTATGCTGGTTTATACACTAGATTTTCTCCAGGTTAACAAAAATAAAGCCACAGGGTAAGTATTTGCAGCAAGACGTATAAGCTTCTGGCTTAGACATTTTTAACAGCTGAAAATCTATAGAAAATATGAAGGAGAAAGGAACACAGTAAACTGTTATGAAACAGAGTAAGTTTTCTTGTTTTTTTATTGGTTTAGAAGAAAGTAAAGCCTAGTAACAATACATTACACACTGTTCAGAACCAAAGTTATTGCTTAAATTATGCACTTTGCGTTTAGTCTGTCTAGAAAAGTGAGGGAAAACAATTCTGATGACACAGTGAAGTAAGTTTATTTTCAGTTAAAAATGCCCATATATTATAAAACATCTCAGAAAGCAGCGAAAATGGATAGGGGTGAGGGGGGAAAGTTATTAAGAAAAAGCTTTCCTTAATATGCCTGATTTTCAGCGCCTTGAATTGTGTGAGCGTCTTAGAAGGACATGAGAAATTCAGTTATATTCATGCTCCGAACAAGATATAATAATGATATCTCATCTTTTGGTGCAAACAAGAGGAAACATTTACAATTGCTTAGTTTTGTGCATAGAAAATACTTTTCTTCCTCTTCCAGTAAGAAATATTTTTAACGGCTTTGCTTATGTCTCATGTGGGGGGAAAAATGCAGCTTAGAACGCTGGGTCTTGCTGCCATTGTATTTCCTTCTAATTAAAATTCAGAATATTAAACACAGTTGAGTACATCCATGCACACCCCACATATCGTCCTCACAGACCGGAAGAACAAATCACCAGCCCTGAGTGCAGGCTCACGTGGTGGCATCATTAGGATTCATCATACATTATGCTTCACAAAGCTTTTGTCAAGTGCAGATCATAATGGCCTGTCAGAACTGTACAAACAGAAATTTACACCAAGTTATCCCTTCTCTCTACTCCCTTCCCCGTTTCCAATGGGAATCTAGTTGCTTTCTTAATAAATGGCCTCGAGGCTCAAGTGAATTCCAGGTTGTCAGGATGATAAAATATCACCAAAATAGTTTAAAATTAATTAAATAAAGAGGGCAGGTGAAAGGTGCTTCAATCACTTGATGAGTATATTTTTGAGAATTGTAAGCCCTATAAAGTGTTAATGGCTGTAATAAAGCAAAAAGACGGTGTAGCCAGGAGTGTGAAGTCAGATAACACATGTAAGTCACAAGGTAGAGTGTTTGATTTCCAACAAATCAAAGTCTTGATTTCTTTTCTTTAAGAAGGGTTGGTATTCTTTATATGGTAATCTCAGAAAAGGAAGCTCTCTCATTAAAACTTAAAATAAAGTATACTGCTGAGTGAAGATGCCTGGGGAGATGAACTTTAAGGGCTAGCTTCCCGGATGTCTGGAATTCCAGGTGTGATGTTATCTGGGAATTTGCTGGTGGTAAATTTTACTATTTTAGACTCGATATTTTTCTTTACCTTGTTCATTGATCATACATACCTGCTGAAATGATAAAAGATTGAAAGGGATCAGCCCTGTAACAAAAGATGAGGCACAAGAAATGTGATACAGTAATAACAGAATGTCATTCTGTTAACTGTTTATTGCTAATGTAATTACACCCACACATTATACTTACATACACACATACTCATATATACACATATGTTAGGGTCAGAATTAGGTTAAGTGTAGCAAAATGAAGCAATAATACCAATCAAATAAAGAAAAGAAAAAAGTCATGTGAGAGACCAATAGACGGAAGACAAAAGACAGACAAAGTAACCAAGATCAGACTCTAAGCAATAAAAACCAGGGAACCAAAAACATTAGACCAAAGTGCCTCACGATTCTGACATGCCTGGTTAGAGGCTGTCCCCAAAGCAGCCTGATTAGTGTTTTAGATGCTTAAGAGACTCCTCATGGGACCAGTGACATCAAGAACAATGGGCCACACCCACCAACTCTTGAAGGCTCTGCAACATCTTCCCATGGACCCAGAATCAAGCCCTGAAGAAAGTCCAAATGTGGAAGCTAACATACAACACATGTGGCACAATGTCTGTCTTCACTGCTTTACTTTGGGAGGATGAATCGCCTCTCTTTCTCTCTGGACATATCTTTTCTCACAAACTGTATTTCCCCCTTCACTTCTGTCTCCTCACTTTTCATTCTGACTTCTAAATCTGTTTTAGGTAAAACAGAGGAGCAATTAATTAAAAGGAAGTTGATTTTTATAGAAAGGACCCTAAAGCAACAGACCTTTAAGAAGGAAAAAATGACCGTGAGCTGGCTAAAAGAGTATCATCAAATGGCAGTTAACTCTGGTTGTAACAATAATACGCTATTACTATGAACAATGCTAGCCATACTGTATTGTAACTGAGGCTGGAAAACTTAAGAGTCTACAGCCAGTTCAGAAGGTTAGACCCTTAGAGATGGCATGGAGTTAAAAGGAAAACGGTCAATGGATAACACTAAGGAACCAGAGTGACTTGTCTTAACCAGTAGCCAGGTGCATTCCCAATCTTATATTTACAATTGCAAATTGCAGGCATGTTAAGATTAAGAGCAATGCTGAAGCATGGGTTCAATACTTGCCTTCCACTTACCAGGGCAAACAATTTACCTTGCTTTGCTCGATTTCCTAATCTGTAAAGTGAATGTAATAGTCATGTGTATTTTAGAAGGCTATTGTGAGGATCAAATGGGAATAATCTGTTTTTTAAAAGCTCAAACTCATTGTTGCTGAGTTAGAATCAACTCAACAGCGGGCTTTCTAGCAGCTTTTTTGGAATCTGTATGCCACAGGGGAGGAAATGTCTCATCTTTCTCCTGAGGAGCATCTGGTAGATTTGAACCACCTGCCTTTGGATTGGCAGGACAATTGCTTACCCACTAGGCCACCAGAGCTCTCTAGCCTCTGTTTGGATCTTAGAATAGTTTCTGTCAGCCTTTTACTAGTGCTGCTATTATTTTATTAATGGCATTATCAAAAGTGACTCAAGACATTTGTAATTCGTCATATATATCTGAATGTTTTTCAAGCTCAGTTGAAATCTGATTGACATAGTATATTATTTCCTTAGCAGATTTCTGCTTAATAATCTTATCCAGTCTTAACTACAACCAGATTATACATCTCCAAGTCCATAATCAACGAAGTATTCAATTGGGCCTACTAGCTGTGGTCTAGAGTTAGCACATCTAGAGTTAGGAGTGAAACTTGTTTTCACAATCAAGACTCACTGGCTGAATGTCCACGGGCACCTGACCCATCCATATGGCGCTTCTCTTGCTCCAATGTTTGTTCAGCTTGCTGATGGCAACTGTAGCCAAATTATCCCAGCAGCGTTAGAGCAAATGTAAGTTCTAAACATCAAGCTCAAGTTTGCCTGTGCAAGTGAAAAAAAAAATCACTTTTAGTGTTAGAATAATAAACAACCAGGCTGCTTGTTTATCTTTTCTGGCTTTAGAACTATTCATGTTATGAGGGAGAGGTATGAAAGCCTTAGATGAATGAAGTTCCCCCAAACACATGCCTAAAGTCAAGTTTGAAGATAGTGTGAAGAGATATTTGCTCTGCTTACAGTGCTGTGTGATTGAATGTTCGTTTGCGGTGGTCTGGGGATGTCAAGGACATCCCCTTCTGGGTGCTAACATGCCGGCTTGTTGATTGTGTATTGACTGGTAGTAGTTCCTGAGGCTGGAGTGAGAACCCCTCCAAACCTTTCCACCCCTCACCTTTCTGTGTCTGATTAGTAAGCAATAGTGGCAGAGCTGAGTCCAGCAGGGCCAATCTTCCACAGTGACACCACTGGGATCTTATTAGCAGACTTCTTTGCAGTTAAGGTGCTACAGAAAGTGTTAAAATAAAAAATATGCCATGCACAGGACAGAGTTGCTAAGAAAGATACAAATTGGAAAATTCTCAATTCAGCCCCTTGCAATTGAATCGGAGCTAAAACACAGCTGACCTGTGAGTTTTCAGAGATTGTAAATTGCATGGGAAGCAGAGTGGTAGTTGGTAGATTCAAACTACCAGAGAGGGGTCAGCTTTGGGTTAGCAGCACAAGCCCTATGGACTACGCCACCGGAACTTCCTAGAAAATTATAGATCCCCATTTTAAAAGGTTCTCTCTTTCTTAGGCAGGCAGGGGACATCACGGGACATTTGGAGGACCAACATCCCTGCACAGCTTCCACTTTACAGAGGACATTGCCAAATAGGAAACCAAAGATCCTTAAACATAAAACAGATGAAGGCAAAAAAGAAAACAAATCCCCCCAAACCCCAAAACAAAAACCAACCCCCCAAAAACCCAACAAAAACCCCCAAACCCAAAACCAACAACCACCACCACCACTCACCAAAACCTACTTACAGTCAGGTTTGAAGCCATCACTTCTAGATATTTTCTTCACCAACAAACTACCATTAAAAAGAAACAAAACATGTTTTAGTACTTCAAATGCAATCTCTGTGAATTGCAGGAATAATTAAACATCGTTAAAATAGGAATTTCTCATTCTAGCACTTGAGTGGGCGTATCACCAAGCCCTCTTTAGTTCAGGCTCTAGCTACTATGGCACCATAGAATGATTCTGGATGAAAGGGAGGAAGCAGGTGTTTGCACTGAGGTTCACCAAGCTGTGCCTGGAAGTAGCTAAAGGGCAGAGTAGAAGGAACTCACAGAAAAGTGTTTCCTCTTCCCTTTCCTCTCTCCCAGACTCACTATTAAGTGAACTATTTCTTCAGTGTAGTCAAACTTCATCAAACCTGGGCAAACTGTCACTGGTTTACAATAGACCATCTACGGAGTCTTTGGGAGGACAGTGGTGGTTCAGTGATAGAATTCTCTCCTGCCATGCAAGAGACGAAGCTCTGATTGCACCAGCTGTCATTGGAGGCTTAGCTACTGAACATGTTTCAGTGGAGCGTCTAGACTAAGATGAACTAAGAAGAAAGACTTGGTGGTCTACGTCTGAAATGTCAGTACATGAATATCCTGTGGATCACAATGGTCTGATCAGCAATGATCAAAGGGGATGGCCCAGCACTGGGAAGCATGGCACAAGGTTCCCATTAATTAAAATTTACAAAGGAAACCTATTAGCATCTAACAAGACCAGGCCTTTTTGGAACTAGTTTTCTGTGAGGGTATCCTCTTAAGATTGCTTAAAAACACTGAAATAATGATCCTGTGTGTCCCCTACTCATCTGGCTACCTTAATTATATTGGGCTTGTATTTCTCGATGCTGCTGAGTAGAGTTTTCATGGTCCTCCTAGTCCTAACCACATACTTTGCTCGGGACACACACACATTCCATGAGACACATTTAGCTGGTATTAATGGATTTTTCATTTAGAGAGACATGATTATACTTCTTACTCATAGTGCACCAAAATTAGAAATTCCATCAAATTGCAGACACATAAGAGGCAGGTGTGTGTGTGTCTATATATAGAAACACACATATATATTTACATATATACATATATATTTTTATACATATATTTTTGTGTCTTTATTTATGTATATGTATGTAAGTATTTATTTATTTTCAAAGGCAGGTGTTTCTTTCTGGAGGCTGGGTTTTAGGGAATACACTGGTGACTATTTCTTTCCTGAATCCTTCAGCTGCGCTAACTGAAGGACTAAATGGCGCCTATGGAGAGCATGTGGGACTCCTCACTGATTATATTCAGGCTTGTGCATGCACGTTCAAGGACTAAATTTGGCCCTAAGGTTATGCTACACAATACAGGAGGCATGAATTTTCATGGATGGGAGATGTCCATCTGAATATACTGAATGGATAAATGCCTCCCTCCGGAGCCTCTTCACTCAATGAGGGCGTCTGTGGCTGGGAAGTGAGATGTGTCTGGTCGGCAGCTGGTGACAGCATGAGAGGGAGTTCCGAGGCTGCTCTCGGCTGCAGCCCGCCCGGGCCCATCTTTGCTGATGAGCTGCTGTACAATTAGGGCCGAATGGGCAGCTGAAATTTATTGTCCTTGGTAGGGAAATCAGCTGTCAGGGGCTGATTATTAAACAAGAGGTCTGAGTTTAGCCAGAGTTGGGCAGTTCGTTTGGCCAGAGGGTCTACTTCATAGGTTACATTGACCCAGAAGAGCTGTGGATGCATATGGTACTCAGAGGCAATCATGTAACAAAAGCCCAAAACTGTGTCCCTGAATTCTTGCCAAGCTGATAAGACAGGCGTGCTCCTGAATGAAATGGGTCCATTTGCTGCATTGATTCCCCGCTGCCAGAGGGCCCACTCCTCTTTTCTTACTTATTTTCATACAGAGAAACCAATTAGATGAAATCTTAGTGTTCCCTTTCATTGCCATATTTTAATTGATTGCATTTATTATTTTGATGCTGAAGGTAGAATTGCCCAAAATCATTTGTGGGCATTAGGAAAAGGACTGGGTTAAGGGTAATGAGTTCACATTTTATTTTACTATTTAATAAACTGTGGTTCTGAAGGCTAATTTCTCGTTCTGTGAAAACATAGGCCTTATGAAAAAGTATAAAATTCAATTTAGACACATGTGAAATTGGATATGAGAAAGGATACACTACCAAACATATTAATGCAGGGCTTTTATTCTAAGCTATTTGAGTCCAGTGATTCTGGTGGTGTTGTGTTCCATGGAGTTGGAACCGACCCATAGATGACCCTCCAGCAGCTTTTCAGAGGCAGTTAATTGAATAAGAGGAAGACTGCCCATCCTTCTCCTGCAGAGTAGCTCGTGGATTTGAGCTGTATGCTTCGGGATTGCAGAGCAGCTTTTTACGATTATTGGTTCTATCCATAAGTCTGGAATACCAGGCACATATTGGAAATAATTCTTGGCCAATTTGGTAAGCAGGAGCTCTTGTGGCCTATAAGTAAGAGTTGTGCTATCAACCTAAAGCCAAACAGTTCAAGTCCACCAGCTGTGTCATTGGAGAAATATGCAATTTACAGCCTCTGATAACCTACTGGACGATCTGTTATGTTTCAGCCCTGACTAAATGGCACATAACAACAATTAGTTAACACATTCTATACTCTAAAACTCACCTTTATCTTCTTTCAGTGTTCAAATATGAATAAGGAAAAGCCATCTTACCTCAACAATCAGGACATTCTAAAATAAAGCCAGTAGTTCTTCAGAATATGATGAAATCTGACTCCTAACGTAGACTCACATTTGTTTACAGAGTTTCAGAATTTGTAGAGCTGGTCCTTCAACATCTATCTAATCGAAAAATTGAGTGGTAATGTCAGTGCTCTAGATTAATTTTAACAACCTTTCTGGAATGATTTGGTGCTGCAATATTGGTCCACAGGGGAAAGGTGGGCAATCTCCTCCTGAGAGAAACGTCCGAAACCCAATGGAGGGTCAGCTATGAGTTAGTTCCAACTCGATGACAATGAGTTAAGAGTTATACTCAGGTTAGGACCCTTGGTGGTGCAATGATCAACTTCTTAATTGTTAACCAAAAGGTTGATGGTTCAAAACTCTCCAGCAGTTCTGTAAAAGACAACCCAGTGAGCTGTTCTCAGAGAGGATATAACACCTATAGGGTGGTTCTACTGTCCTACAGAGTTGTTAAGATTCAGAATGGAAACAAAGGCACACATCAGCAGTATAATCTGGGTGTGAGTAGACTGACTGACTTTAGACTGTTATCTGAAGAACTATCCAGAAAGTCATTCCAGCTCAATAGTTCTGGGATATTGGACAGTTTATTTATTAATTTTGTAATCCAGGATGCAAAACTTCAAAAATATTTGAAACATTTCAAAAAAATTCCAACTAGAAGCTGTATCACTAATGGTGGAAACACTTTGTTAATGATCCTACATTTAGTCATGAACACTCTACTTCTGTAGACACCTGAATCACTGGGGACTCAGCACTTGTGCCTTCTGAATCTTCAGCTCTGTGGAAGGTGAGGTGAGTGCTAGATGAAGAACTTTGAGGAGCCTGGTTTATATTTTCAGTGTAATGACTTAGTCCTCTTCTACTTCTTCCCTCAGAACATTGATGCTGTTCATTTTAATTTCTTGTCTGATTATCTTCCTTCTCCACTAGACTGTAAGCTGTGTGAGTGCGGGAATTACCTTTGCCTTGCATATTATTAGATGGCTTTGGTAGCCCAGTTGTAAGAGCTGTGCTACCATCCTGAAGCCATGCTGTTGGAATCCACCAGCTGCTCTGCAGGAGGATGGGCAAGCTCCTCCTGTGCAATGTACTACCTTTGAAAACCCAACGGAGGGTCAGTTATGGGTTGGTCTGACTAAACAGTACATAATCACAACAACTATTATATTCCTAAACTCTAGGCATAATTTGGAAGCAGGAGCGGCATCCACTTCCAAAATGGCTTGCCTCCGGAAACTCTATGTACGAACAGTGCTCAGGCTGTTCGTTCATAGGATCGCAATGAGTCATCTACGACTCAATGGCATTAAACAACAATAACAATGACGACGACCAAGAGAGAGCTACGTTGGCCCAGTGGAAAGGAAACTGTGCTACCAAGGCGAAGGTGGGTGATTTTCATCTGTGGTCCTCGGCCAGGTTCAAATTTTCTTCCTGTCAAACATTCTTCTAGGTGGTATAGCACTGGTCTGTGCGTTGCTGTACAGAGGTAACTCGTGGTTGCTGTGATGCTGAAGACTGTGACAGTGATGTGCCAGTCGTGGTAATGGGTACCCATGGTGGACAGTGTTGGCTGGAGCTTCCCAACTAAATGAAGCCTGGAAGCAGGAGCAGCATCCACTTCCGAAATGGCTTGCCTCCGGAAACTATGTACGAACAGTGCTCAGGTTGATCGTTCATAGGGTTGCTATGAGTCGTCTACGACTCGACGGCATTAAACAACGACAACAACAGGCATAATTACCTCCATTCAAGTCAATTTTAACTCATGGTGACCCAGTGTACATCAGAGTAGGAAGAAATGTGCTCAGTGGGGTTTTTCAGTGGCTGATTCTTTGGAGGTACATGGCGAAGCCGGTTTCCCCCAAAGGGCTTAGAGTCTCTTATCATTTTGGTTAGTAGCCCAATACATTAATCATTTTCATCATACAGGCCCTAGCCTAATAGCCTGTGTATAGATACTCAGTAAGTACTCAGATGAATGAACACCTGATTAAGCTTATTAACGAGTGAAAATCAACCAATTAATTGGATTACTAGTTATATGTCAATGTTGTCCCATCAAATTAAAATATGACTATGTTAATATGCCATTCTAATTAACTGAAATGGGAAGGAAATTCCTCAAGGAAATAGCGCCTTTCTTTCTTTGGATGACTTTCAATTATTCCTGTAATTCATATAATAATAATAATAATAATTTTTTAAAAGGACCAAATCATACACATCAGCTATCTTTCTCCTATCTAAGGTAAATGAGAATTATTAAAATGTTAACTAACTCACCAATCAAAAACTCTGTTAAGTTTGCATCATAGGATTTTATGTGTCATATGCATTTGGAAATGCAACAATTTTTCTGGAAGTATTTCCCTCTCAGATAGAGTATTTGTAGTCCATTAAAATGTAGGGAAAAATTCAATTTTATCACTAAAATGTTAAGATTGTTTTGTCCCTTTTGAAAGATGGTCATACCCACAGCAGTAGTTGCATTGAGAGAGGAAGAACCTTAGCAGGTTAACATGTTAGGATCTTTCTGTTCAACCCATAACAGGGTATGCATTTTCAGTTTGATAGAGGCTTACCAACCATGCCTATCAACTAAGCAGGAGACTTCGAGAATGGTTTGGTAATTTGAATTTTCTCTTTCATGATCCTTTTCTGTATCAGTTTCATAAAGAACATGTCTAAAATGTGTTCATCTGCATCCTTGCCTAATTAAATAGGACATGGAACATAATTAAATCAGCTTTTTTCTTAGACAGTGCAAACAAAGGAGTCATTAGCCTATCAGACACACTGGTGAGTGGAAAGTAGCACTTGGAGGTGTATCAGTCCTAAGTCCTCTGTCAACATTACTTGAAAACATCTTGAAATCAAGGTAATACACACGTTGTTTTTGTTGTTATGTGCCTTCTAGTCGCTTGAGACTCATAGCGACCCTAGGTCCAACAGCCCTAAACTCTGATCTGTCCTGTGCCAATCGCACTGTCTCTGACACTCCCATCCCGATTACCCCAGTCACTGAATCAATCCACTTCATAGAGGGTCTTCCCCTCCTGCGCTGTCCCTCCAACCTACCAAGCATGATGTCCTTCTCCAAGGACCGGTCTTTCCTTATAACATGTCCAAAGTATTTTAGACCGAGCCTCAGAATCCTTGCCTCCAAGGAGCCACCCGGTTAAACCCTTTCCAAGATGAATCTGTTTGTTTTCCTAGCAGTCTATGGTACTCTCAATACTCTTTTCCAGCACCACAGCTCAAAGGCATCAATTCTCCTTCTATCCTCCTTGGTCATTTTCCAACTCTCTGATGCATAACAAGTGATTGTGAAGACCATGGCCTGTATCAGATGCACCTTAGTCTCCAGAGAGACACCATTGCTCTTCAGTACTTTGGAAAGGTCCCTAACAGCAGATTTTCCCATCACAATACATTGTTTTTTTCCTGATTGCTGGTGCCAAGAGTGTTGACCGTGGCGCCAAGCAGACTAAGGTTGTTAACAATCTCAATATCTTCCCCATCCATCCTGATGTTGCCAATTGGCCCGGTGGTGAGAATCTTTGTCTTCTTGACATTGAACCTCAATCCATACTGAAGGCTGCAGTCCTTGACTCTCTGCAGCAAGTGCATCACGTCCTCCTCAGTTTCAGCAAGCAAGATTGTGTCATCTGTATAAGACAGATTGTTAATAGATCTTCCACCAATCCTGACACCACACTTCTCATAGAGCTCAGCCTCTTGGATAATCTGTTCTGCATACAGGTTGAAAAGGTATGGAGATAGGACACATCCCTGGCAAACACCCTTCCCAATTTTGAACCATTCAGTGTTTCCCTGCTCTGTTCTGACAACTGCCTCTTGGTCGAAGTACAGGTTTCGCATTAGAACAATCAAGTGTTCTGGGATTCCCATTCTTCTAAGAGTCAGCCACAGTCTGTTATGATCCACACAGTCAAATGCCTTAGCATAATCAATGAAACACAGATATACATTCCTCTGGTATTCCCTGTTTTCAGCTAAGATCCATCTTCCAATAAAATAGTCTCAAAAGACCTTAAAAATAGCCCACATCATTGCTGCTCCTCAGACTCAGTTCTTCCCTCTTCTAACTTCTCTAGTTGTTACTATAAATAACATTATTTAAGAATATGTTTTTGTACAGCTAAGTCAGTCTTAAAAGAATACCTAAAACATTTGATTTGTTTGTATGCTTGAATTAAGAAAGGTTTTATTAGTTATAAATATTACTTTTCAGTCTAGAAAGCTTGACTTAAGCTTTTTTAAACATCCCTTACCAGTTCCTGTTTGCTTGACCTAAACTCATGGCAATCTCACCTGAGCCAGAGCAGAATTATGCTGAGGGTTTCAGTGGTCACTTATCCAGAAGAAGCTCTTCAGACCTTCCTAGGGTGGATGCAAACTTTCAACATTTGAGTTAGCAGTGAGCACATTAAATATATGTGTCACTCAAGAATTGTATTTTTTATTACCCATAAACATACTTTCTGATTTGAAAAATTCTAGACACAGCATTGCATTGGGCAAGCCCACTATCAGGGATCTCTCAAAAATACTTAAGAGCAATTATGACAGAAGACTAAGGTCCTCCTGACTCAGGTCACAGTCTTTGCAGTCACCTGCTATACATCCGAGAGGTGAACAATGAATAAGGATGACAGAAGAAGATTCGATGCCTTTGAGTTGTGGTGCTAGAGATGAGTACTGAATATACCATGGTCTTTTAAAAGAACAGATATGTCTTGGGAAAAATGTATCCAGCATACTCCTTGGAGCCAAAGAAGATGAAATTTCATCTGTCATACTCTGGACATGTTGCTAGGCAAGGTTATTCCTTGGAAACGACTATCATGCTTGGAAAGATGGAGGGTGAGTGAAGGAGAAGAAGATCTCCAACGAGATGAATTGACACAGAGACTGTGGCAATGGAATCAAGTGTATCAGAGATGATGAAGATG